GTGCACAAGTGGGCAAGAATGTCTTCAGACATGGGTCTAAGAAGGCCTCTCTGGGGAGGTGAGGAGCAAGGAGCCACCCCAGAAAAAAGCCAGAGGGCAGCATCCAGGCAGAGGGGACAGCCAGGCAGGGAGGGACCTGGCATGTTGGGGGACAGTGAGAAAGGCCAGTATGGCCAGAGCGGGGTGGGGGAAGGGGCTAGTGGGAGAAAATGAGGCTAGAATCAAAGGCCAGGTGGGAGCATGTCAGGCCTGACAGATATGTGGAAGGAGTGGACTTTATTCCAAGGCACTGGGAAGTCATTAGAAGATTTTAAACACCTCCTGGCAGAGTCAGGCTTGGTAAGCTCTTCCCATATACAAGATTCCTACCAGCAGGCCTGCTTTACCGATCAAGCCCAGTACCACCATTTCATGCACCCACCCCCAGGTCTCCCAACCTTGGGTCCCCTTCGCCACACCTTGAGATGAAATCTCCAAGCCCTAAGCCAGTCTGGTGCACCTCTCACAATACTCTCAGATTAGCCCAGGGTTGTAAATCACAGCACACACAATTTATGCACCAGTGCACGCACATTTACTCCAACGCCGACAGAAGAGGTTAACCTTCCTCACCTGGGACCCACGCAAATGCAACCTCAGGCCATATTGGTCTCTGTTAGGAATCCCACTGCAGTGAGCCTCCTGCTGAGCTCACAGGCAGCTAGAACCCCATGGATCATTAAGGTATACACACAAACCCCCATGGCTTATGAGAGCACACACAACTTCTCATCTATCCAACATCTCTCCATTCACTTATTCATCAAACAAACATGTATTGAATATCTACGATGGACCAGGCCATCTGCCTGGTACAAGGACATGGCAATGAACAAGGCGGTCATAGTAGTCCCTGCCTGTGTAGTCTATTGCTTCATACACATTAACACAAACTTAACAATTAAAGCACCCATTTATTAGCTCAAAGTTTCTCTGGGACAGGAGTCTGGGCACCGCTCAGTTGAGTCTTCTGTGGAGGGTCTCACTGGACTGCAATCAAGATGTTGGCCAGGGTTATGATCTCAACTGAGGCCCACCATCCTTTTCCAAGCTCACTGGGTATGAGCTAATTCCCTGTGGTTGTAGGAATGAGGCCCTCAGCTCCTAGAGGCCCCCACGGTCCCCTGCCACAACACAGCAGCTTGCTTCTTCAAGACCAACAGGAGAGCATCTCTGCTGCTTCAAGTCCTTGACTGCTAGACCCTCTTTTAAAGGGTTCACCTGATTGGGTCAGGCCCACCCAGGATCATCTCTCTTTTGACTAACTCAAAACCAACACCTGTGGGATCTTCATTGTATCTGCAAAATCCCTTCACCTCTGCCATGCACACCACATCATATTCACACATCTCCCCTATGTTCGCAGGCAAGGGTTATACAGGGCACACGTACCAGGGAGCAGGAATCTCGGGGCCACCTGGCTCACTGCCCTGATGGAATTCCCATTCCAGCTGGGAAGGCAGACCTCCATACATGATTGGAAAGGTGATGACTGCACCAGGGCACCATGGGCCAGCATCTCGGCTCCATCTCTGGCTGCAGGAGGACCTGGCTGGGTGCCATGCCCACCACTGCCACCCGGAGTGCCGTACCGCCTCCTCTCCGCTCACACATGCTATCACACATTCTGGGACAACTGTCAGTGGCTTATTCATCATTTCAGATTGCAACTTGCTGTTTTCTCAGACACCCACTTTAATACCCTGACATTTCTGTTCAGCCCATAACATTCTGTCAATTGTTTATATCTTCCTCTCACGCCGATTGGCTTTTCAGCTGCATTCTTGGCCCTTCCCAGTCCTGGTGGGTGATGCTTACTGAGAGGTTCAGAGTCACTCCCTCACCGTCCACACCGCTGGATCTCCAATGAAGTGTGCTACACCCCCTATGTCAATCATCTCCCGAGACACTCACAGCTTATGCTCCAGGCTCAGGGTGGAAGCTGCCTGCAAAAAAGGCAGCCCGCCTAAACAGAAATTCCTTCTGTGTCCTTTTCCAGCTTATAACTAAAGGCCTGTTTCCAGAACATGCAGGTGGACAGAACTATCCCCCAGCTTTTCAGCTGCCTTTCCATCTGCCCCATGTCTGGCTCATCAGCAGGACACGCTACCCGTCCCCTGGCCACCACCCCACCTTCCCTCCAGTCTGGACTGCCACCACCACCAGCAGCCCTCCCTGACCATGCAAACACTTGCTAACTCGTGTTCCGCCTTCTGCCACTGGGCCTCTACAGGCCCTTCTCCACACCACAGCAGGAGAGGTCTTCTGAAAACATAATTCATTACCATCCTGGAGACGACCCTGAAGGGGCTTCCCACTGCACTAAGAATACAATCCAAACTTCCCTCTCTGGTCTACAAGGCTTGGCAAGACCTGCTACCTCTTTATCTAATCCTGCCCCCTCACAAGCCCTCCCACGGGTCAGGTACAGGCCACACAGGCTTTCTTTCAGCTCCTCGGGTTCTTTTCCATGGCCGGGTATGCGGGCATGTGCTATTCTCTTTTCACAGACTATTTCTTCCCACCCATGCGGGAAAATGATAAATTTTAGAATGAGTGGTTTTGGGACAAATGCACAAGTGTTTGGAAACAAAAAGCAATGTTTAGCACCTGCATGGCTGTTGCCTACCTGTAGGCTTTAACTTACCATCAAACAACTCTTCCAACCACACCAGTTAACACAGGTTCCCTCTGCTATTCTCCACCTCACCACCCTGATTAGTTGCTTCATAGTCAAGGATGTCATTTTCAGTGATTTTATTATTTTATTATTGTCTGTTTACTCTTTTCTTTGCCTCCATGCTAGAATGCAGATTCCAGCAAGGTGAAGACCATGTTGCTGCAGCTCACCATCACACCCCCAGTCACTGCATTGCCTGGCACCTTGGCAGGTGCCTTGTGCAATACAAGCTCAAAAAATATCTGTGTGGGGCACCTGGGTGGCTCAGTTGGTTAAGCAACTGCCTTCGGCTCATGTCATGATCCTGGAGTCCCAGGATCAAGTCCCACACGGGGCTCCGTGCTCAGCGGGGAGTCTGCTTCTCCCTCTGACCCTCTTCCCTCTCATGCTCTCTGTCTCTCATTCTCTCTCTCTCAAATAAATAAATAAAATCTTTAAAAAAAAATCTGTGTGTTGAAAGACTGGATGCCTGAGTGAATGAATGCATGTTAACTCTGTGGTGTAAAAAATGCAAATCCATCCTGTGATTCGAAATATAAGAGGCAGGAGGGAGGGTCTTATCACACTTTATGTTAGACTCTGTTCTAAAGGTATAATAATTAAAACTGTGGCATTTTCAATGAAAAGTAAAAACAGAAACAAATGGAATAGAATGAAAAGTCAAGTAAGTAAGCATATCACTCAAATATTTAAACAGTTGTTTTTTAAATCAGCAGGGGAAAAAAGAGATTATCTTAAAAATGGGGTGGGACAGCTAACTAGCTAACAACAAAGAGAAAAAGTAAGCTAGAGTCCTACCTCTTTACAAAGAAATAAATTTGAAATGACTAAAAATTTGAATAGAAAATTAAGCCATAATGTTGTAGAATAAAATTTCTGTTAACTACAAAGCAATCTTAGGATAAATAAATCCTAAGTAGGACACAAGGGAAAACACTGATATATTTGACCATGTGAAATGAGCAAATCAAACTTACAAATAATAATTGTGGTAGTGGGACTTCCAGCCATAATGGAGAAAAGAGATCAGCCACCTTTTGCCTCATAAAACAAATATAAAACTGGATAAAGTCATCAAATACAAACATTTAAGGATTCTGGAAGTTGACCAAAGGTAAATGATTAATTGGAAGTGGTTATGCATGAAAAACTGCTAGACATTTGAGTCAGTGGCCTTCTTCCTAGGGCTTCCCCTGTCCACTTCCCCACATTGCTTGGCACCATAATTTTGTCAGGGCAAAGCTAACTGTGAAAAACGTCATCTCTAATGCCAAAGGGAGCTGACCTGTTTTGGAGTGGGAAGCAAACCTGTAATTGGTGATACTGTCAGTAAACGTGCAAACTCAGAAGAAAATTAATGAGGGAAAACCCACAGATTTGTTAATATGAGGTTGCAGCCCCACTTGAGGTGAGTGGTGAAACAGCCAGAAATTTAATGGGGAGATACTGCAAGAACTAAATAAGCTATTCACACATTATGGTTATCCAGAGAACCTCTGGTGGGTAGGTGCAGGTAAGACTCAAGAGAGCACAGAAGAAACTAAAACGAAACCTTAAGGCAAAATTGAAAACTGCCCAAACATGGACTGCTCTCCCCAACCTAAGTACAAATCAATCAGCAGAATGTGGTGCGTGGAAGAGTCCAAGACGTATGAGTACAACATCTTCCCAATCATCATCTGACTATGGATCTACACAGATGCAGTGGCAACTCTTAAGCCAAGCTAAAAAAAAAAAAAGATAAGAATTCAAAAACTAAGCAAATACATCTAGTTACACATGATTAGAAGATGGATTCTACAGATTAAGCTCAGGCAAGTTATTAAAGAAAAAACCTTTCAGGAGAAAAACCCCAATCCAGAGTTGTTACTATATATTTTTTCCATGTCCAGTTTTCAATTAAAAAAAAAAATCACAAGACACATAAATAAATAGGGAAGTATGAGCTATACTCAGGGGTAAAAAGGAATCATTATAAACTAATGCTGAGCTGGCCCAGATGTTGAATTCGGATTTAGCAGACTGAGACTTCAAAGCAGCTATTATAATAAACATGTTCAGAGAATTAAAGAACACTATGTTTAAAGAATTAAAGAAAAACCCGTTTCACACCATATGCAAATATTAATTCAAAATGGACAAGCAACCTAAATAACAGCAAAACCATAAAAATCTTAGAAGAAAACATAAGGGTAAATCATCATGATCTTGGACCTGGCAATGAATTCTTAGATAAGACACCAAAAGCATGAACAACAAAAGAAAAAAAAAATAGATAGATACACTTACCTGGCAGTGGAGATACCATGATCAGGAAGGTGGTTTTCCCAGGGCAAGACTTACCCATTGCACTCCAGATATGCTGACCCCTATGATTTTCCCAAATGTGGGAAACTTGACTGCATAATTTGGGGTAGTGGGGGACTGCATTTGTGCTCTCCCCTGGAAAAAAAAATAGATAAACTGGACTTCATAAAAATTAAACATTTTTGTGTATCAAAGTTTATTAAGAAAGCAAAAAGACAACATACAAAATGGGAAAAAATATTTGCAAATCATATATCTAATAATATTCTAGCATTTAGAATATATAAAGGACTCTTACAACTCAACAACAAAAAGATTAACACCCAATTTAAAAATGGGCAAAGTACTTGAATATGTGTTTTTGTACAGAAAATATACAAATAGGGCACCTGGGTGGCTCAGTTGGTTAAGCAACTGCCTTCAGCTCAGGTCATGATGCTGGAGTCCCGGGATCAAGTCCCACATCGGGCTCCCTGCTCAGCAGGGAGTCTGCTTCTCCCTCTGACCCTCTTCCCTCTCGTGCTCTCTAATCTCTCATTCTCTCTCTCTCAAGTAAATAAATAAAATCTTTTTAAAAAAGAAAGAAAGAAAATATACAAATAGCCCACAAGTATACGAAAAGATGTTCAACAGAGCATTAGTTTTGAGGGAAATGCAAAGCAAAACCACAATGAGGTAACACTTCACATTTCACAGAGAAAGTAACAAGAACTGGCGAGGATATAGAGAAATTGGAATGTTCATACATTGCTGGTGGTAATGTAGTCTGGTACAGCCATTGTGGAAAATAGTTTGGTGATTCTCCAAAAGGCTACACATAGAATTGCCAAATGACCCAGCATTTTCCACTCTTAGGAATATACTCCAAAGAACTGAAAACATGTACACAAACAAAAACTCATGCATGCATGGCTATAGTAACAATATTCATGATAATAAAAAGATGGATACAACCCAAATGTCCATTGGCTAAATAAATTGTGATATATACATGCAATGAAATATCACTCAGCCACAAAGAGAAATGAAATATAATGTGGATGAACCTCAAAAATATTATGCTCAGCAAAAGAAAACAGACACAAAATATTGTATATTTTTACATTTACCTGAAGTTCCCAGAATAGGTAAATTAATAGAAACATAATACAGATTGGGAGTTTCCAGGGACTAGGGGAAGGGGGAATTGGAAGCAACTGTTTAATGGGTACAAAATTTCTTTTTGGAGTGATGAAATGTTTTAGAATAACATTGTGAATGTACTAAATGCCACTGAATTGTATACTTTAAAATAGTTAATTTTATGTATGTGACTATCACCTCAATAAAAAAATTTTTTGATGAATTAAAGGAAAATACAATGACAATGATTCAAGCCAGGAATGAAAATAGAGAATATAGGGGCTCCTGGGTGGCTCAGTTGGTTAAGTGTATGGCTTTGGCTCAGGTCATGAACCCAGAGTCCCAGGATTGAGCCCCACATCAGGCTCCCTGCTTGGCGGTGTGTCCACTTCTCCGTCTGCCCCTCACCCTGTTTGTGCTCTCTCTTTCAAATAAAAAAATAAAATCTTAAAAAAAAAGAAAATAGAGAATATAAAACCTTAAAATAATAGAATAAAAATATAAAAAAATTCGAGTGAAAAATACAATAATCAAAATGAATATTCACTAAATGGCCTAAATATCATATCTGAGATGGCAGAATAAAAAAAAAATCAGTAAACTTGAAAATAGCAAAATAGAACTCATCGAACATGAAGAACAAAGAAAGAAATTAAAAAAAAAAAAACAGATGTAAAGACTTGTAGGACAACACCAAGCATGCCAACACACATATAGTGGGATTTCCAAACTTGAGAAGAGAGAGATACAGAAAAAAGAATACTCAAGGAAATAAGTTTCAAAAGTTCCCAAAAAGCCACAGAGTTCCCAAATTTGGTGAACAAGATCAGTCTACAGGTGAAAAAAGCTTATACCAAATATAGGACAAATAAATTATATTAAACCTGTTGAAAGACAAAAAATCTTGAAAGCATCAGGAATAAAATGACTCAGCATGTACAGAGGAACAACAATATGATTAACAGCGGACTTAGCATCCAAAACAATGGAAGCCAGAGGGCAGTGGAATGACATATTTAAAGTGTTGGGGGGTGGGAATTAAAGCTGTTAATCAAAAATTCTATATCCAGCAAAATAATCCTTCAAAAATGAAAGCAAACTAAATATATTCCTAGATAAATACTAAGAAAATTTGTTTGTAGCTGAACTGCCATTCAAAAATTACTAAAAGAAGTTCTTCAAGATGAAAGGAAATGACACTAGATAGGAACTCAAATCCTCAGGAAGAAATGCAGAGTCCAGAAATACTGAATATGTGGATAAATATAAAAGACTGTTTAAATATGGTTTTGATTTTCTCTTCTCTTAATTTCTTCCAAAAATATAAGATTGCAAGAGTAATTATAAAAATCATGTCATTTGGGCTTATAACACATATAGACATATATGACAATAATGCTACAAAGGAGGGGGGAGGAAATGGGGCAATATTGAAGCAAAGTGGCCATACTGTACTTCAATAAGGTCAATATTAGCCTGAAAGAAATTGTGATACCTCAATATGTATATTTTAAAACCACAGAGCAGTCACTACTGAAAAAAATTCATAGTTTAAAAAACAGAGGAATAAAAGTGATACACTAAAATACTAATTTAAAACAAAAAATGCAATAGAGGAGGGACAAAAATATAAATAAGACATATTGAAAACTAATAGCAAAATGGCAGATGTAAATCCAACTCCATCAATAATCATATTAATATGAAAGGGCTAAATTCTAAAAAAAGGCAGAGATTATCTCATTGGATCTTTTTAAAGCAGGATTCTAGTATATTCTATCTACAAGAGACATACTTTAGACTCAAAAATACAAACATATCAAATTAAAAGGATAGCAAAAGGTAAACATGTAAACATTAATATAGTTAGAGTGGCTATGTTAATTCAGGAAAAATCACTTTAAGACAAGAAATTTTCCTAGAGAAAAAGAGATATTTCATAATGATAAAAAGGTCTAATATGTCAGGAAAGTGTAAAAGTTGTAAATGTGTGTGACTCTAATAATGGAGTCCCAAAACACAAGAAGAAAAACCTGACAGAACTTAAAGAAGAAATAGAGAATTCAATAATTATAGTTAGGGATTTTGATAATCCACTCTAAATAATAGAATAACTAGACAGAAAATCAATAAAGATAATAAACCATTTGAGCAATACTATCAACTATATTGACCTGACATTGATAGAACACTCCAGCAACAGAAGAATACATTCTTTTTGAGTGCATGCAGAACATCCTCCAGGATTGATGATATCTGGCCATAATATAAGTCTCAATGAATTAAAGTGATCTGAATCATTTAAAGGATATTCTCTGGCCACAATGGAATTAAATTTGAAATCAAAAGCAGAAAGAAATTTTGAAAATTTGTAAACTTAACAACACTCTTCTAAATTACTGATGGCTCAAAGAAGAAATCAGAAGGGTTATCAGAATATATTCTGAACAGAATGAGAATGATAACACAACATGTCAAAAAATTAGAAGCAATGAGGAAGAATGGATAGATGGATTATAAAAGACCACTAAATTTTTGAAGGTGATAGAAATGCTTATTATCTTGAATGTGATTCTTGGATTTTTTATGAATGTCAAAATATCAAATTGTATATTTCAAATATGTGCAGTTTATTACAGGTGAGTCATTTTTCAATAAAGCTATGAAAATGTGTGGGATTCAAGTAATGCAGCACTTAGTGGTAAATTTATAGCATTAAAAGTTCATATTAAAGAGAAGAAAGATCTCAAATAAGTACTCAAAGTTTCCACCTTAAGAAACTAGAAAAGAAGAGCAAAATTAAACCCAAAGCAAGCAAAAGAAAGAAAATAATAAATGTCAGAGCAGAAATCAATGAAAAGGAAAACAGAAAAAACAATATAGAAGAATCAATGAAACAAAAAGCTAGTTCTTTGAAAAGATTAACAAATTTGATAAACTTTTATGGAGATGGGCCAATTAAGAGACAATGCACACATTATCAAACAAAAATGAAAGAGGTTTCTTAACTACCAAAACTACAAAAGTTAAAAGGATTACAGACTATCAACAACCTACTGCCAACAAAGTTAAGCAACTTAGATAAGATGAACAAATTCCTAAGACAAACACAAATCACCAAAATTTACTGAAGAAGAAAGAGAAAACCTGAATAGAGCTAACAAGTAAATAAATTTAATTAATTTAAATATCTCACAAAGAAAAAGTTGGACCCAGATGACTGCATTAATAAATTTTATCAATATTAAAGAAATAATTCCAACTAACACAAAGTCTTGCAGAAAACAGGAAAAAGAAACATTTCCAACTCATTCTTTGAAGCCAGTATTACCTTGATATCAAAGTCAGAAAAAAGAATCACAAGAAAAAAAAACTTAAGATCAACATTACTAATGAAAGCAGAAAAAAGTTCTTGGTGAAAATTAATTAATATTAATTAATCCTTATTTAACCTACCTACATTTTTAAAAGGATTATTATACATTTTAAATGGTATTTTTTGTAGGAACACAAGATTGGTTTAATATCTCAAAATCAATTAATGTAATACACAATATTAATAGAATAAAGGACCAAAACCCACAGAATTTCCTCAATTTGATAAAAATCCACATCCATTTATGATAATAACTGCCAACAAATCAGGAATAGAAGGAAATTTTCTCAACCTGATAAAGGGCATCTATGAAAAGCCTATAGCTCATGTCATAATGAAAAACTTCATGATTTCCCCCTAAGAGCTGGAATAAAGCAAAGATATCTGCTGTTACTTCTATTCACCATTGCAGCAGACTAGCCAATGCAATAAAGCAAGAAAAGAAAATTAAATGCATATGGATTGGAAAGGAAGAAGTAAATCTTTCTAGGAAAGTCACAGGATACAAGATCAACATACAAAATCAACTGTATTTCTATTTGCTAGCAATAAACAATCCAAAAATAAAATTAAAAAAACACTTTCATTCATAAGAGTTTCAGAACAAATACTCAGTAATAAACAAAGAAGGGCAAGATTT